ATGTTAGCGGGGATTGAACACTTTGTTTGTATGTCTGATGTTTGTAGACAATTTCATTTCTGGCACAGACCTTTGGTCTTTTGTGCATGGGTGGGAGAGGACTGCAGTGTACATTTAAGCTCATTTAACGCAGGGTCCACATACACCAACACCACCGCGTTCTCAAAGACCAAGGAAACACGACCGAGCCCACGAAGCGACAGCGTGACTAACACGCTCCCAGTCAGTGCATCACACAACCACAAAAGAGTGTGACCCACCTTGGTCATCGCCCTTCCCCCCCTCCCCCTTCGCCTTCCTGGACTCCTGGCTCTGCCCCCCTCCAAAAGAAGACGAAGGAGACGATGGTGCAGCCTACGGCCCCCCGGGAGCCCGTCGCCCACGCCGACACCGCCACCCAGACGCCGCCGTCCTGGGCGGCCGGCGGCGTGTCGGCGGGATGCCAGGCCGGGCCGGGGATCGCCCACGGGCACTCGCACTCGGTGGGGACCCAGACGGAAGAGCCGGAGGCGGGGAGAGGGGGGAGGGCAGAGGAGGAGGCGGAGAAAGCATGACGAGGTGAGGGGACGTGGGCAGGGACGATTTGTGGAGTGGGAAGGGGACGGACGGAAAAAGGGGCATTTGGGGGGACATGTGATTTGTCGCCTTTTGCTGGCGGGCGGCGCCCCTTTGTTCTGTGGGCTGACAGGCGATGGGGAGCGGGGGGAGGAGGGGCCGGGGAGGAGGAGGCGATGAGGACACGACGAGGTGGTGGGTGGTGGGAGAGAACGGACGATTTGTCGGATTTTCTGGGATGTGTGAATTCATGGGCCTTTGCTGGCGGGCGGCGCCTTTGTTCTGTGAGCCGACGGGGTTTGGGGGGAGGAGGCGGTGAGGAGGAGGCGGTGAGGGCGCGACGAGGTGGGTGGTGGTGGGAGGGAACGGACGTCAAGGGGGCAAATGCGGGAACGTGTAATTTGTCGCCGTTTGCTGGCGAGCAGCGCCCCTTTTGCCGTTCTGTGAGCCGACTGCCGGGGAGGGGGGGGCAATGAGGGGCAACAGTTTGAGGGGTTTGAGTATTGAGGCCTGAGGCGGGGTTGCGGACTTGGGGCGGAAGGCCCGAGGGCGTCAGCGCGGTGAGGGGACGTGGGTGGGGACGATTTGTGTGGGGGCGTTTGGTGGAGTGGCTGTGACAGCTGTCGCTGCGCCAGCGGGGTGATGACGAAGGTTGCTTGCGGGTGCTATTGCTTGGGTCGGAGGTCAGGGCATTGGAGGGATTTTGCGGCGAATGACTTCGTGAGGGGGCGTTGGAGGAGGAGGAACCGATTGGGATCATTGGGTGCAGTCATGGCGAACGCTGCAGTTGCGTTTGTGAGGCTGTGTTGCCCGCATGATGGGGGACGTTGGGTGAGTAGTTGTTTCACGATAGCCGTGTGTTCGGCCGGAGATGGAGGCGTGGATTTGGAGGCAGGCCACCCAAAGAAGTGCCCCGGTGAGGGGACATGTGCGGGACGGTGGTGTTGTTGTCTCATGCCGGCAGAGGGAGGGATAGGGGCAGGATTGTTTGCTTGGCAGTGTGGTGTTGTTTCTGCGGCGGCAGCAAGCCATGTGGTGCAAATGATGCCACCTGCAGAGCTGAAACTTTGGTGATACTCTTGGACGTGATGCAGAGTGCTGGGGGAACAGGGTGCAACACAGATCGAGGGCAGGGTGCATCCCTGTGCTATGTTTGTATTCACAAGATGCAGCAGTGAGAGCCCTGCACCCTGCTTTTGCCAGGCAATTACAGGGCCATACATGTCAAACCTGTTGTCCCTGGTCATCGAGGGCAGGCATAAGCAGTAAAACTGTGGATGAGGTTCATGGGATCCCCTCTGGTAGCAGTGGCACAGTTGGTAACAGGGAATGTAGCATGTGGGTAGGAACACACCCAGCAGTTGTTGCTGATGCACTCAAGCAGTTGTTGGGAATAGGCGGTTGCTGGTTGGGAGTGGGTATGGATTCAGGCAACAAAGGCCGAGGGCAGGGGAGGCCCCAAAATTTCGAAATTTGACTTGATGTTGAAAGTCAAACATACTGAAATTCGAAATTCATGGTGCCAATGTCAATGGCTGAAGCAGGGCCAAGGGGTGGACAGTGTGGTGGCTGCCATGTGATTTCCATGTGCATTCCAAAGCCAGGCCAATGTGCGGGCGTCCGATGACTGACACAGACACTATACTTGTCTCAACCCATTTTCGGCCATCGTGGTATTCATGTTTAGGATTCAGCTCCTTTGTTCCTCGCTGCCTGTGTATTGTTTGACAGGATTATTCGTTTGGGGCTCACCAAAATGGTGCGATCACAGTCGGCTGGTAGTGTCAGTGAGGGTATACATCCCCACCTTCCAATCCTCTGATTCCTCTTGGCATGCTGCCTTTAACCACCTGCTGTTCTTGTCTGTTCTTTCACTGTGATGAGAATGTATGAGGTATCGTTGTTCACTAGAAGGTGAGAATTCAGCATTAAATCGCAGTGTGCCTCTGTCCCATGCACACTACACAATCAATTTGCTGACATCACTAAGTGGGGCCAACAGTATCTGTACCTGACAGCAGTAACATCTGAGACGTGACCGAATCAGTTTCTGGAGCAAGTATGAGTCAATGATCATCTTGTCTTTTGCCTGTGAGCGAACGTTTTATGGAGGCATTCCTAATGCATCATTACGATGTGTGCAGTTGGAAGACAGCCTAGGCCAGCACCACCGTCCGCTCCCATGTCAGAGCATGGAACATCAGAATATCCGATTTGGAATATTGGAGTACACAACACAGAGTTTGGTGGGTGGTGCACGTCACTGGTGTCCTTTTTGGGATATGTGAAAGAGTGAACTTTGGGCTTTTGATTTGGGAAACCACGGTTTGGGGTGCCTGCAGCTGATGTCAGCCACAAGCTCAGGTTTGTGAGCACTGATGATAGACAATAGGGTTTTCGGCTTGATTGAATTTGGGTGGGAGCAATGGTATATCCCAATGCGAGTAAAATGGCCACGATCAGCCAATATTTTCAAAGTTACGAGTGACGATTGTCGTATGGCGGCAAGCTTGGCCTTGATCCAGTAGACCGTGTGCTTGAGCAGGGGCACAGACCGTCGGCAAATGCTTGCATCACTGGATTGCCGTTGCCACTGTACAAGAACGCAAGAGTTGCTCAGTGCCAGAGAAACCTACAGGGCAACCACCGTTGCAGGAATGGAATGATGTGCACGCAGTCAATCGGATGCGTTAACAGGGGCAGGGACGAAGTTGTTTTTTCTTTTGATGGGCGGGGCCTTGGTGTGCGCCCACATGGCAAATAGAAGACGATGCTGGGGATGATATGAAAAGCGGGATGGGTCGCGTCTGTATGGACGTTCGTTGGGCAGTATTCTGGTAGCGCTGTTGGTATCAGTTTGAATATGTTTGCTAATAAGTGATGGACTGTTGCTACTAGTAGATGAGAAAGCGACGCCTTGGGTTGTGCCTCGAGCAGGGTTTAATTCTGGAACTTTCTGCGGAATCTGACTGCAAGGGTGCCGCTATACTGGGCCAAGTTGCTGCTGGTAGTGTTGATGTATTACTGCTGAAGATACTGGCAACACATAGTTCTGAATGTGTCGGCATGCCTGGCAACTGTGAAAACGTAATCAACACACTGTTGATATTTCATTCACAAGTATCAGCCAGGAATTGTGTCTGAACAATAGTCATGACGTTGCGCCTTGCTTTGTGGCTGCTGTACAAAGTCTTCACACCGTAAAACATCATGAAAACAGTATTTCAGCAATTGTTACTCTTCCCCTTGTGACTCATTGCAAATCCGTGGGGTCACAAGAGGATTGCCACCTTGCACTTGCCAATGAGGCATTGCCTTGCCACAGTGCAGTTACAAAATAGAAAGCACCGCACAAAAACTAATATAGAAATGAATAGAAACAGAAATGGAGAGGTATTAGATAATATCCCACTCCCTTTTTGACTTTGCTTCTGCCACAAACGACAATGTTTGTGCATGGATATCGATGGTGGGAAGGGAAAAGGAGGTTGGGGAAGATATTCTGCATGTGCTCCCAGTCAGACTGGAGGGCACTGGCACATCGATGCAACAGGGTTTGGGTGCCCCTCCAGACTGAACACAGGTTTGTGCTTGGATGGGCAGAATCGGATCACAGTGAAAAATACATGGTAAGTCCCAATCAATGATTTTTCCTTTGGAAATTCTTGCAAAGCCCCTTTGCGCTCTTTCTGGCAACAATCCGGCATTTATTGCCACACAAAATGCCCGAAAAGCAGCGCGCCATGACAGCTGTTTTAGGACGACAAAGCAGACCAACATAAAAATGAACACATGCAGAAGATAGGAAGAAAACAGGAATCCGGGACACCCGAGGGCCGTGCTGCAGGAGCGCCATTGGAGGGACCGGACGTCGCCTGGGCATCATCACATTCGGATTTGGTGGCCAGCAGCACCAAGAGCAGCCCGAAGATCGCCGCGGTGCCCATCTGAGCGGCGGTGTCTGCTGTGAACGGGGTTGGATCACTGCACGGGGCCATGGTGCATTGCAACTAGCAGGTCGCGTGTGTCGCGTGTATCGTGGAGCGCAGCAAAGCGCGGCTGGAAGCACAGTGTAATGACGCCTCGGGATGCGCTGGGCGGGGCAGCCGCCCGGCTGCGACATCTGGAGCGTTTTTCCGGACGCTGTTGATGGTTGCTCAGGGGACCTGGTGTTTGGGCGTGGGTGCAAGGTGTGGCCCCAGGCCCCCGGCTGTGCATTGCCATGCGCATCCCTTCCTTGTCCGCCTCCAGTACATTCGCGGCCTCCGTTTCTTGGGGCCCACCATCGTGCCATTCAGATCCAAACCCAGCCACACTCCAGTACTTCACCAAACGCCCGCCCAGCCGAAACAAAACCACAGCACCTCACCGCAGCGAGTCCTGCACGGCGCGCAGTCGGCAGCGCGGCGCCAGCGCCCCCCGCCGCGGACCCCCGGGCCCAGGAGATGGCTCCCGCGGCACATGCCGGCGATCCCGCCCTGGGATCGCTATCGGCACACCTGTCCTCGGCGCAGGACGGCGCCAGGCGGCTGATGCGGGCATCGGCGGGCCGGCGCGACGGCCCGCGGCCCGCCGGCCGCATCCCCGCCCCCCCGGCGCGATCAAAGAATCGCGAATCGGGTATCATGGTTGCCGGCGCGATTTCGGAACAGGATTCGGTCGATGTGGCGGTGGATGGGCTGTTGGGCCCCGCGCCACCCGGCGATGTCGATGCGGCGGAAAATGACGGCAAGGTTGCGCTCGAGGCGGTGGAACTTGCCAGCGAGGCCGGGCAGGATTACGGTGAGCTGCGCGATCTGCTCTCCGCGGGAGAGTTTCAGGAAGCAGGGGGAGAGACAAGGGCCAGGCTGTTGGCCTTGGCGGGGGCGGATGCCGTGAGCAGGGGGTGGGTTTACTGGTCGGAGGTGAAGTTCATTCCGAATGCGGATATGAGGACGATTGACGGGCTCTGGCGGGCGGCCAGCGGGGGCAGGTTTGGCTACTCGGCGCAGAAGCAGGTGTTCGCTGCCTGCCAGAGGCGCTGGACGCGCTTCTTCGTGGAGGTGGGGTGGGTGGATGGGGAGAGCAACAAGTACGTGGAGTGGCCGGGGGCCTTCGACTACAGCCTGGGCGCCCCCGCGGGCCACCTGCCGGAGACGAACTGTTTGAGGGGCACGCAGCTGCTGGCGGCGCTGATGGAGCACCCGGCGTTCGAGGGGGCGGGGGCGCGCAGCGAGGCGGAGCTGCAGGGCGGGACGTTGCCCGATTGGATGTAGGCGGGTGGGGGCACGGGGGTGAGATTTGCAGCAATTTAGAAAAGGATCATGCAAAGAAAATACAAGAAAAATGGTTCATGCAAAGATAATGAATCATACAAAGGGTGGCACTTCTTGAGCGAGTGTGGAATTCGGGGGGTAAAGAAGCGCCCAGGTGGGACTGAATGTCTGATTTTGGGGTTTGAATGTCTGATTTTTGGTTTGGATTTGGAATATCTGTTTTTGGTGTTTCCGTGTTTCCCGCTGCAGGGACGTTTGCTGTTGGGTTTTGCTCGCCTGTTAGGGAGGCGGGAATTTTGAAACAGAGATTGGGGTGGCTGGACGCAGGACGATGGGACCGGAGGGGGCCCCCAGAGAGAGTTTCCAACTGGGGTGGGGGTGGAGTAGGCGTCGAGAAGCGTGGAAAGTTTGGCAGGCGGTCTTTTAGGGGGCCGAGTCTGGGCGCATCGAAGGTGGTGGAGTGATTGTGCACTGTCCCTTTTGTGGGGGCCCTGTTTACCAAAAGTCTTCTCTTTAGCTATAAAGACTATGCCATGAACGTATTCATCAAAGATGGCCATTTTGGCAACTGAGAACAGATGTCCTGGGCTTGAAGTAGGCGCCAAGGGCTTTCAACGCCCATGGACTGCGTGGAAATGTTCGTTTGAACTGACATGCAAACAACCCACATAGTGAGCAACCCTGTCCTGAACACGAATTTTGTGAAAATCTTCCTAGTTGAGTGGAAGGGCCACAGCTTGGGATGGGGCCCTCGAAACTGATTTTGCAACTGCGACCCATGCAGTGTTGTTGTCGGGGGAGGGCGAATTGAAGGGGGATCATTGGATGTGGAATCCTGTGATGCTTAACCATCGAGCAGGAACTATTGGCCTAACATGGGTTCTTTTAGACCGTGCCTGCAGGATCCTGCTGATTGCCAATGTCCACTAGAAACGGCACCCCCTTTGCGTTACTGGCAATGGAGTTGTGGTTCTTTGTGTTGGGCGTCTGCTTTGGAGCCAAATTTTGCCTTTGCGCAATCAACTGCCTGTTTTTGGCCTCCGCTACAAGTGCCCAAGATGGCAGGCGAAAGAAGGCGCAGGATGCTCCCAAAGCTCAATTGTAAGCACCCTCTACCGGTTTTGCACACAACGCCAGTGGCTGTTTGGAGCGCCATGAGGTGAACCCAACAAAGCGCCACTCCCCAGGAACGTCAAATTTCCGAATCTCCTGTTTTCAGGAGATTTGCTAAAGCGAAATCACAACCCCCCCATCGCCTTTACAAGGCAGAGCAGATCACCAACCCTGCCAGCACATCTCTTGGCGACAAGCACCGTCAGTGCCGCCGTTGGCGAGGGCATCCAACGCGCCGTTTCCCTCTCGACTCGCCCCACGCACCCCGCCGCCAACATCATCCCCATCAGCAACACGCCTCAAGCTGTCAGCAACCCCCCGTCCCCGTGCTTTTGCCTTCAGCCCTCAGAAAGGGCCCCAACGAATCCGACGGGCCGCGCCCTGCGGCCAGAAATCCCGCCCCAACACCCCTCACCCCCAACCCCGTCTTCGCCACCCCTTCCCCAGTACTTCCCCCTTCACTAACCAACCCAACAGTACTCAACGCCATCGCTCCGCACCCCTCAATCCCCAGTACTTCCCCTTTACTATGCTGCCCAACCAGTACTTAACCCCTTCACTACCCCACCCCCCCATCCTTACTAATTCCCCAAGGCAGCCCACAATGCCAAAACACGCCCAAAAACGCGCACTCCACAGCGGCGTACGACCGCCCGAGCACAGGCAAACGCCCCCCTTTGCCCTCGCGACGCCGCAACACTCGCCAGCCGCCGCGAAGCAAAAAAGAAAACGGCCCGGCCGACGATCCGTCGCGCCGCGGAGCGCTCCGCCGGCATGCCGGGCAATGCGCCCGGCGGCGAGGACGACGGCGTGGGGGCCAGGATGCCGCCGCTGCCGATCGAGCAGTCGGACTCCGGGGGCGGCGGGGAGGCCTGGCGGGGCGGGGCGCCCGGCTCCTGGCTGCGGGTGCTGTGCCTGGGGGGCAGGCCCAGCCCGGCGCCGGTCAGCAACTACGAGGTGCTGATCCACGATTGCAGCAGCCGGTTCGGCAGCAGCACGATACGGCTCTCCGGTGAGCGGCGCCCGGGCGCGTGTTTTTCCGCGCGCGTGTGTGAACAAGTGGAGGAGTTCGTGTATGTTTGTGTGGGGCAGTGTATGTGCATTGTGGGGGGGTGGGGTGGGGGGTTAGGAGGTGATCGGAGGAAGGGTTTTGGCTGGTGGTGGGGGAGAGGGGGTTGGTGGGGGTGGGGGGTGGGGGGGGAGGGGGAGGGGTAAGATTTGTTATTGGTGGGAAATGGTGGGTCGATCGGAGGGGTAGGGCCCCGGGGGTCGGGCGGGGAGGGGGGGCCCGGTGCATGGCGGCCGTCTCGGACGGCTGGGCGGGCTGGCTGGGCTTTGATGCGGGAGCCGAAGGGAAAAAAAGGTCGGCGGTTCGATTGCGGGACGTCCGGCTGGGTCTGGGAGAAGGCTGGGAAATGGGCACCGCGGGGGGGGGGAGGGGGGAGGGGTGGGCGTCTGGAAATGATGAGCGGCTGGCCCGTGGGAGCGGGCGGTGTGGGAGCGTCCGGTGGGCGGGCGGGGGTGTGGGGAGGATTGGCAAATTGCAGGGCCGCAGCCGGGGTTGGCCGGGTCGCGGTGCGCCGCGCGGCGCCAGGTGGTGGCTTCCGTGCCCCCCGCCGTTGCGACGGCGCGCAGCCGTGGCGCATGGAATCAGCGGGCCACCGGCCGAGGGCCCTCGCGGCTGGCATCTTCACATCATAGCGCCGTTCCTCCCTACGGCCGGGCGCCGCCCTGTGGGCGGCATGTCGCGGGCCGCACGTCGGCATTGGTTCCGCGGGGAGCGGCCCGCGCGGGCCCGTGGCCTTGCGATGAGAAGAGCGTGTCCCCGGCGCTGCCGGCGGTGGCGGAGGATTTTCTGACCCATTCTGTGCCCGCCTGCCTGTGTCCAGACCCCCGCCTGAGGTCGAGGTTCCCCATCTGGATGATCCTGGCACTGGTGAGAGCCAGCCGCCCTGGCCGCTCGACGCCCGGCGCGCCCCCCGGGATCATTGGCCCCCCGCCCACACCCGCATCAACCGCCGGAATTCCGCCCACGCTCTGTCGGCCTCCGGCGCCACCGCCCTTCGCGAGGCCACGCCAATGCAATGCCGTTGATCGCGACAGCGCTGAAGTTGGGCATTTGGCGCGTTTGGCGCCCACCTCCGGCTGGCGGTATCGGCGGCTGTGCGGCTGATGAGTGATTGTACAGCATGGCGAGACCATTCAACCCGAAGCCGGTACCGGCGGCCTTCCCGGAAGCTTTCGCTACCGGGCGTGTCGGAGAGAGCGCGGTTCGGGCCGCCCTCTCATCGGCTCGGACCTTTTGCATCGATCGCCGTCAATTGCCCCCGACCCCTGTGTCGCAAATCCGGCGCAGGGGTGCCGGCGTGGCGCCAAGGGTGTCAATCGGGGTGGGCGCAACCGAGGGGCGATGCCGTGGACCCGGCCGGTTTGCTTCCGCGCCTTGGCGATCGGACGACTGTCAGTTGGCGTCTACCGCCCGTTGTTCTCGACTTTATGGGCTTTCGAATTGGGGGACTCACAAATGCCCCCACAAAATCTTTGCTCCACCCGCCACCCCCCGCCCCCTACCTCTCGACACCCAGTCCCGGCAGCAATTGCGGTTTTGTCAGCAGGGGAAGGAGATCAGGATGCAACTCAGCACTGAACCTCTGCAAAGCACATAGAAATGCCCAACTCCAATTGCCCCCAACTCTCGATGCTACTCGCCCTGAGAACTCATCCAAATACTTTGTGGACTGCATGCTGAGCTCCATTTATCTATTTTCCCTCTGGCAAGGCTGAAGTTGGTCACAAGTTTCTTGTTACACAAGTAAGTTGCACATTTGTGTTGTTCTGGAGGCAAGCTTTGCAAGCATACCAACTTGAGGGAAGCTCACCACATACCAACTTTGGTCCTCCTTTCAAAGCGTCGACTCTCTTGCCCTCTTTCAAGTTGTCCTGGGCCAATCTGCTGTCCTCCAGTCAGAAGTGCATCCATATCGATTTTCTGCATCCAGCTGGGATATTATCCCTGTCCTTGCATCAATAAAGGAAGACAGAATGAAGACATTGCAAGGATTTAGGCAGACTCGTAATGAGAATGCTCAACTGAACCCTGAGGCAATACCATGCGTCGATTGGCCTTCTTCGCTTTGTTGGTGTCACAGCATGTTGTGTCACCTGACCCTGTCTAATCAGAGCACAATTTGATCAGCCCTTAGCCTTGCATGAGCACCACATCGTGGCCCACCTGGCTGTCAGTCGCAATTTGGGCAGATTTGAAATACATCAGTGCCTGCAGTTGATTTCTCCTGTCCAGGCTGGGCTGTGGCAGGGATTACTGTAGGACTTGCGGATCTCACAACCAAAATGCTGTGGACGTGGGTCCTTTGGATATTTCATAGATGCTCAAGAATACTATAGGAATGCTCCATAGAGATTGGGTCTATGAGCTGCGTTTTTTGGGGAAAGTTGTTCTGGTCTGCTGGAAGTTGTCCTGTCACAAGCGGCCTGATTGCTTTTCGATCCCACTGTGATGGGCAACTCTCGAACAGCAGCTGCTGTCAATGTCCCAGATCTTGTATGGAGTGCCTTGCAGCACTTTGGCACTCTTTCAATGGGTGCACTGAAAGCGAATCACAGCAAAACAACTCTCGATGCAGGAGGATATGTGTTCTCTCTGCAAGCCACGCTACTCTACGACACCCACTCCAGCAAACTCTCCATCACATCGCTGTTGTGTCCTTCCTTGTCTTGGGAACACCCCACTATTGTGCCTATTGTGGAACAGCGGGAATCGCTCTTGCAGTTGCAAACTATGCATTTTGTCATTGTGTGCTGAAAAGGAACTCTCAACATTTTATGGTGGGTCATGTGCCTGTTGTATGATATTTGTGTCCAACATATCCAAAACAATAATTGGGAATCTATGCAAGGAAGGGTGGGCCAGATTCATGGTAATTGGAAAGAGATTCTCTTTGAAAAACTTTGCTGTAGCGGAAAGCAAAATGTCTAACATTAGGCACTGCGTTTGGAGCAGAAAGGTTGCAAGACTTTGTCACAAAGCATGAAAGACAGCGGAGGAAACACCTAAGGCCATGTGAAAACAGACAACAGTACAGCAAGACAGCTTGCACCAAGTGGTGCCTTGTAATTTTTCTCCTTTTCTTATCCAGTGATTTTTTAGGTTCTTTCATTTCAGGCCCTTGTCCCAGTTCCCTGTTAATCACATTCATTGAGAGTTGCAGCGCTGCTGTTGTCCCTGTCAATGGCGATGATTTTGGGCTGTTCCTTCCTTTCAGGTCCTGCTGTTTGTTTGCGGCATACTGGTGGTCTTCTTCCTGGTGCCTCGGGGCGTGGGCTTTGGGGCTGCCCAGTTCAACGTCACCACGATCTACCTGAACCAGACTTACTCCACATACAGGCTGGTGGTGAAGATCAAAATACCCATCTACAACAACAACTACATGGATGCCTACCTGGATGGCAACGTGACGATGCGGTTTTACAGGGTCGAAGCGGGCTACCAAGAAATTGAGAAGCAGCTCATACCTAAGAGAGCCAAACATGTGGTATGGGGAAGGGAATGTTAACTCTGCTGATGGCATCTATCAAACGTACCCTGGTTACTGAAAGGAGATATTGGGCCTAGCAGCATCCAGCTCACATCCGCTTGTACACGGCAAAGCCATGCCATTGCACCTGGCAGTCGCCAACAGCAACTTGTTGGCAGATGCGGTAAGAACATTTCAAACGAACCATGCAGAGCACAGCAGGTGGGCAGGCCCTCCAACAGATGTGGGCATCTGCTGCATCCTGCTTGGAACGAATCTGCAATCTGTTTACCAGGGCAATACCATTCGGATGCCAAATACTGTGGGCATCTGAGGAAACCCCCCTTGGACTGCGTTCATCGCACACGTGGCAGTGCATCGTTGATGGCATTGCAACTGTCATGGACATGTATGGTCAACACTTGTAATATGCATGCAAAGTTGTATTCTTTGCATACGAATTTGTTTCTGCATTTTCCCTGTTGTCCGCTTGTGGAGAAATTTGCATAAACAACTGCAGAATGGCAAACAGATCGCCTTTTTGCTACCATGGGGTCTTCCTGAGCTTGTTCTGATGGAGGAAAGTGTGTCACAGCCACCTCGTGAGCAGGTTTACCACTATCCCTTATGGTTGCATGCTGATTGCACAGCAGTCCCTGACATCAGTAAGGAAACATGCAAGAACCAGCAGCGCAGGCAGTAAGAAAACTGCCACTATGCCACTTTGCCCGTGATTGATCGTATGTTGGTGGCACTTGGCTTGCAAGCACAGTTGTCAACTCGGCTGAGGTCAGGTCATCAGTCAGGGTTCAGTTTCTCACAACCTATGTATTACTATATACTATACTATAAGTTATATGTTATATATTACTATATACTATGTGTTGTTGCTTGCAACCTGTATGTTTGCATCGCAATGCTGGGCAAAACCACCCCAAACCCCACCTGTTGTTGTTTGCAGGAGATCACGGCGATCGTCGACGCGAGCTTTGTGCCCTATGAATACATTGCCAGAGTCTTGGATAATTGCTTGAACTTCCCGTTTGAGCTGGTGTTCTTTGTGGAGGGCGAATTTAAGGTGGGCGACGGCGCCACGCGGCCCTGTGGCCCTTTGTTTTCTTCACTTTGTCCTTTGGGTTTTTCTGCTTTCCCTTGATGTAGTGTTCGCAGATCGTGATGGAAAGCACATATGGTCACAGCCTGCCATTGGCATTTACTGCCAACTGTTTGCAAGCAGGGTTGCCATTGGCCTCACATGGTCGACGTAGCAGCGAACTGCTTGGATCGAATTTAAACAGACAAATTGGGCCCTCGCATCGTTTAGACAATGGCTGGTGGTGCTTGAGTGCGTTCCCCAACTTGTCAGTTGGCCACCGTTGTTGCTGTTGCTGTTCTTCATGGCAGCAACTTGTTCGGAACTCCGTTTAGCTGATGGCAGGAAGTTGCAAGGCTACAAATCACCGTGTCTCATCGTATCCATCCCAACATATGTTAGCCATGCAATCTGTCTATTCCTTTCGCAACTCTGTCTTGAAATACATTAGGAGTGCATGACCAACTCGTGCCCCCATGTCAAGCTGAAATGGTTAGGCTTGTGCATGTTGATGGTGCGATGTTTGCCTAGTGCAGAAGGACTTTATGGTGGCTGTGCTGCCCATCGACAGGAAGCCGACATGCACTGATGCATCAATGCAGAAGTTTGCTGAATTGTGCAAATGTTGTGCAGCTGTGTGTGGAAACCCAGAGCAGCAAACTGCCACACCGACGAACGCGATGCAGTGTCTGAGGAATGTGTTGCAAGTAAATTGTTCACCAACAGTTCTGTGGGGGGGCCCATGTGCCAACAGGGCCCAACAACATCACATCAGTGCTTGCGCCTGTCAGGTCACTGCCCTTGTGTCCACATCCAGCACTGTCAGTTACCATCGCCAGCTGCTGCAGGCAGTTGCTGAATCAAGATTCCATGAACTGTGCATCAACAGCAAACCCAGCGATCAGCCCATCAAACGGTCGTGCGGACAGATTGTGTGGGTTTCATTGGGCCCTTGGGAAGCATCGCCACAATTTTGAAGAGTGCCCAAGATATCCACGTGCTATTCCATTGCATGTCATAGACAAGATGCACAGCTCTCTGTTGCGGACACAAGTGATGTGGTGGGAGAGGGCCATTGCTGTGTGGCGCTACCTTCTCGTCGAACAACTGCCAGTGCTCAGATATGATGCACGTTTCAAACAGATTCTTGTTTTTGTACAAATGTTCTCGCGACTTGTGGCCAAATTGTATCTTTTGTGCTACTGCAGGCTCATTGCATGGGACAAGTACAGCACCTGCCACTGAACACCTACACCTTCATCAAGTGTCCAACTCTGCCGCCAGACGGCCTGCCGCCTGAAAATTCGGTGCAAACTGTGCCGCCATCGCTGCCGGCCAGCGCAAGCCTCGGGGTTGTGGCCTAGCCAGCCACGATGGGTACAACACAATTCATGCCGCGCAATGAGCTGTGCGTCTGAGGAGGGTTCGCAAACGAGAGGTCTGGTTTGAATGTGCAAGCTCTAAACTTTCAAGTCGAGAGTTTGAAAGTTGGGATCCAGCCTTTGGAGATGTGGAGCGAGGACACAGGGAGGGGACGTGCAGCGACGAAGTGGACCCTGCAGGTTATTGTTTTGCACACGGGTGACGAGGACAACGCCCATTACGTAGCGTGGGCGACGCCCAGGTTATTGTTTCGCACACGGCCAGCAGACGGAGTGGGCTGGCGAACCACGCACGTCTCCGGCAAGGCGCATTTTCTTGGCACGTGCTGACACACACCGTTTCTTTTGGGCCGGTGGCTTTTTTTCATTCCATTTCGAGCGCGCGTGGTGCCACGTGTCGCGTGCGCATTATTGGGGTGTACCAAAAGAGCGGGACGCCATGGGGGATTGATGGGCGCTGGGTACCTTAGGCAAGTTTCCTTAGGCCAAGGATGGTTTGGAATGAGCCTGGGGGGGAAGGGGGGGCGGGGGCGGGGGGGGGGAGGGGGGACGGGGGCGGAGGCAGATTGTTTTGTAGCGTTGTGGAGACACCACGAAAGGCGACAGAGGCTCGTTTGGAATGCCATTGACCGAATAATCGATGTGCAAAGCGGCTTGGTCGTCGGCCTGGTGTTTTTCTTTGTTTTTCTTTGCTTTTCTTTGTTTTTCCCATGCGGACCGGTGTGTTCCCTTACAGTTGTTTTCGGTGGTTCCTTGCGTTGCCGCAGCCCGCTTGGAGGATTCGGAGCGCGGGGCGCCTTTGGGAACGGACGTCAGCGCATTTGTTTCAATTTCATTGGTCCAAGTCCCGCAGGGGCAAGTGGCGGGACCCTGCCAGACTCATCGACCCCGGCGAGCTCCCATGGCGCCCTGCGGGGGAATGTGAAACCACCAAAACACACCACCGCGCGGGATGTCAGTAAGTTTTGGGTGCCGCGTCGCCGACATGTCACTTCGGCGTGCTGCAGCGCTGAGCCAGGAGCTCATCCACATCGACCACTGAGAGGCCCAAAAGCTGAGTCGCTGAACTGCGCTGCGGAATTGCTCCACGGAGTGACGTGCAACGGCTTGCCAGCTCCATCAATTCTCAAGTGCTGTAGCAAGGAAGGTATTTTTATTTGGGTACATCTGGCTCGCAAACAACACTACCCCCACCCCCAGACCCCATGGCCTTCATCATGATGTCCATCCTCAGCTCGGTGCTTTTCCAGTGTTGGTAAACAACGCTATGGAGGCTGTGGACGATCGCCGTGGGTTTGTCGCAGGATGCGTTCAGATTGTGCACCAACGTGAAACAGGGGTCCCACTGGCCAGGGCATTGTGCACCTCCAAGCGCCCTCCCTGCCTACGCAATGGGGCCAGAAAGGCTGGCTCTATTGCACCGGTCGTCTGCGGAACACACCCACAGGCGCTTTACTTTGCTTTACCACCTTGTGCCACTCTGCGGAAAGTATCAGCCGCCCCCAGCCTAGATTATCAGTGCACCAGCCATTGGCGCTAGGGGCCAAAGAATGGCCAGGGGCCCTCCACACCCACGTGCTGTTCACAACAATCCATCCCAATCTGCGCCCCCCCAAAACAGGCTTGCCAGAAGTTAAATCTAAACAACGATTGTACAAAGTCTTTGCAAGGCGGTAACTTTACACAAAGAATTTCAGCGTCCCTTCAAACCTTTAATTATCCTGTGTTCGGGTCGCCAATAATGGGGCTCATCAGAAAAAGTAGTATCTTAATGATGCTATTCAGTGGGCGACCCGTGAGCTCCAGAAGTGGCAAAGCGAGTATCGACAGCCTCGGCACCTTCAGTAGTATGACCATCGCTCAACAGGTTGGTGCATAATAAGGCGGGGCTAACCCAAAATCATCAAGCAGAGGTGTATACATTCAATAAATTAGTGCTGTGAAGGTTGAGCTGAACTTGGATTTGAAAGCATCAATCAGCTGGACGTGAATGCTGCAACATGACTGTGCCATTCCCATTCCATTTAGAAGTTTCCAAGAGGCGTTTGTTAAGAAAGTGCGTCAATAGACGTTGTTTTGGCCACGATTTGACCGACCACTGTACTTTATGAACGGGACCCCCGGTTTATGATGGAGGGGGCTTTCCCCGTCGCGGTCTGCCCGCGAAGCACGATCGGACGGAGCCCAGGGTGTGTGCGTGAAGGCGCCACGTGGCTGTGTGATGGGAGTATGACCCGCGGGGCATTCTGCGCCATGGAATATTATACATTGGAAACCGTGGCAGTTGACCGAGTGACGTGGGGTGTAACCAGTAGAATTGCGGTGATGTGGCGGGAAGATTCCACGTAATCAAAAGATACTTTCCCACGAAGGGCCCATTGTGGGAAATGTCGGACGCCATGGGCGGATATAAGTAGGGAGGGCGCGAAGAGCGCCCAAGGGGACGATGCATTTTTGACTTCAGCATGGCAGCTGTAAAACGACTGCGTGTGGCCTCTCTGTACCTCGCGCGGCGGTCTAGGCATGCGGCCTGGCTGCCTGAGTCCCCTGGCTGTGCGCGCTACGTGTGCCATGGCCTGAGCGCAATAGCGCTCGACCTTTTCAAAGTTCACGGCCAGTCTGGGCCGTTTTCTCAAACCGTTTCCTTGCCGTTCAGGATCAGCACCTCCAGTGTGGTCTACCTGCCGGTCAGAACTTGCCAAGCCTCGTCGCTGCACAGCCTTGCAGAGGCGGAGAGAGGCGTTTTCAGTGCCATACATCGACGTGCTGTGGGCAAGGCAGCCCTGACCCGTAGACCTGACCTTGATTTCTCCAGCCGTTGAAAAGCAGTTGCGACCGGTTGAGGCGCTTTAAGGGGCAACTGTGAGAGCTTCTGCGAGCGTATTTGCGTGGTTGGCTGGCAATGAGACGTTTGCTACCCGTTTGAAAATTCCCCTTGCTGTCGCCGCTATTTTTGCAGGCCATCGTCATTGTGACAAGCGGCGTTTCGTGAGGATCCAATCCGCTCAAGGGGAGACGTCTTGATCGTTTTGCACATTCCAAAAAGAACGCGAAGCTGAGGCTGTTGACGTGGATCAGCTGCCCATGAGTATGGGAGAGGGTTATGCGTGGTTCCCGTGGCGACCATCGGCATGTGGAATGATCGTTGCGCCACCAACCGGGGTTGGATGTTGCAGCCATGGATGCGTGACTATCTGTGGTTGTTGTGTACTGCCGGAGGGTCCCCATGCATTAGCAGGCAGAGCCCTTGCATCGTTTCTTCTTCCACTGTGGCGCACATCCAGAGATTGTACTGGTTGTCAGGGCCGCTTGAGTTCAACATCTGGGTGTGCCTTCCATTGTTCCCATCAACGCAGGAACCGCTGGGCGGCCAATTGCCAGGTCTGACAAGGGCCCACGGCCGAAGGCCTTCGCCATCGACCCAGGCAATCATCACCGGCAGGCCACTCAGCATCCTGAGTCCTCCAAGCGACCAATGGGCTATCTGTGATGCTTGCCGGCTACGCTGCGACCAAGGGATCCCTGTGGCGGTCGCAGGCCAAATGCCATTTCAAGAAATAGAGGTGCAACAAGGTATTATGCAGTACCAGTCAGGCTTGGTTTCTACGCTGCAAAAACTGATCGTATTTACGTTTTTACGTGCAAAGAAGTTTTTTACGTTGTTTGCCTAAAAATGCATAAAAATACTGCCTCCTGTACATAAGGATAGTACATATAGACTTAGAATCGGGGAAGTGGCAGCCAGACGCCCTGGAAGGGGCAGAAAATGAGCTTTTGTCACACGCCATCGCCAGCCTTGCCAAAGTCGAGGTGGATATTGTGTTGCGGATGCTAGAGATGGTGGATGATTGATCATTGTGCGCAGCTTTCATCGGGTAACCTGGGTGTCCCAGGGAGCCGTAAACACATAAAATAGCCGTAAAAACATGCCCTTTGCGAATTGCCGTTCTTACGTGTTAAAACGTAAACGTAAAATCTAAGCTTGGTACCAGTCCCTCCTCCATTTTTTTCTGATAAGTCGTTGCCAAACTCGCCGTGTTCTGAATGGCGCAGCCTCTGGCATCCAAGAGCATGGCCACAGCAGTGTCTTGCATGTGACAAACACCACTCTCCTCCCCGTCTATTTTCAACCCTGACACGATAATGCAATTCTGCAGTGTCCACAATCTCCCCCCCCTCCCATTGCGTTGGGTGCCAAAACTTCTAAATTGCAAGCACGACTCAAGAAACACTGTGCTCACACCGCATGCAAGGGATGAAGCCGTGGTGCTTTTCACACTCAAGGAAATACGGCATCGCATTTCTGTACATTGCTAATGCATTGTTAATGGTTCAAAAGAATGTTACAAAAAAGAAGGAAGCAAGGCAAGAGAAAATTTAAAAATTTAAACACTCCGCCTTGGTGTTGAACCAGCGCAATACAACGAAGCTGAAGCGTCCAGCGTCCGAAGGGGACGCAGAACGCCGAGCTGAAACAAAAGTTGTCCGTATTCTCCAGCCGCATGTTGCGCTCAAGTAATGCAAACTGCACCCGAGTCGGGACGCATTGTATGTACATATATGTGACACATACAATGCAGAATGCATGCAATGTGCCTGGACGCTGAGGTGTGGTGTAAAGTATCGGAATCAACCAAAAGAATTGCACGCAATGTACATGTACATATACATAATATGTATATGTACATTGTGTGCGTGCGTTGTGCATTGTATGGGACACAGGGCCCTGGGCGGTGAACGACCGCCAAGCGCAGCAGCACATGCAGCAACCCCACGACACCTACACGTCACCTCCCCGAGACCGTCAGCCTGGTGAAACGGCTTGGCTCTTCATGTTGCGAAAAGCATGCAACCGGAATGGGGATTGGACAGGATACCTCGATTGTTGAACATCAAAATTGCGCCAGAGCGGCTGATCTTCGTGATTGATTTACCGGCAGGTTGGCTGATGTGTGACTGACTTGTGAGCTGGCTGGATGATG